TCTCCCCTCCCCTCCTCACCTTTCTACCTTCACCTTCTGTTCCTGGTCCCACACCTCAGTTGACAGATCTCCCTGCTGTTTACTCCCAGATATGGGATGTTTCCAATCCCTCTCACTGCACACCGTCCTCCCATCAAAAAAATCCCCTTAAAACCTAATCACCCATACCCTGCTCAACGTCAATATCCAATCTCCTCCCCTTTCTATTGGGCCTAAAACCCACCATAACCAAACTTCTCCCCCGCAGCCTCCTCTGACCATTGCATCTCCTTACAACACTCCCACGCTGCCTGTCAGAAAGCCAAACGGATCATATAGACTTGTCCGGGACCTCCGTCTCGTCAGTTCTGTAGTACAGCCCATTCATCCAGTAGTTCCAGCCCGTACGCTGTTCTCTCGACTGCCTCACCCAGAACCACTCACTACACAGTCCCCGATGTGAAGGATGCATTTTTCTCTATTCCTCTGCATCCTGATTCCCAACACCTCTTTGCTTTTACATGGACTGACCCCACCACCAATTTTTCCCAGCCACTTACCTGGACGGTGCCTCCCCAGCGTTTAGAGAGAGCCCTCGTTATTTTAGCTAAGCACTCTTCCGATCTGACCTCCTACAAGCCGCGTTGGTCAACACTCCTCCAGTATGTTGACGATCTCCCCCTACGCGGTGCCTCCCTCTCTGTTTCACAGGCAGACACTGTCTTGCTCCTCCAGCATCTTTCCTCTAAAGGCTACAGAGTTTCTCCTTCCACAACATAAGTATCCCAACCCACAGTTTCCTATCTAGGCGTCATCCTCCAGGGAAACCAAAAATTGCTCCCTGTGGCAAAACTCCAGGAAATCCGGCGCCTGCCCCCTTCCTCCACAAAACAGGATCTCTCCTTCCTTGGACTAGTCAACTATTTCAGACTTTGAATACCTGGTTTTTCCACTCCTCTCCAAGCTCCTATATAAATTAACGAGAGGAAATCTCTACGAACCCATTGACCCAAACTCCTTTCCCTACAATCCTTCCAACACTCACACAGCGCTTTGGCCGCAGCGCCCTCTTTAGCCCTGCCCTACCCTTCCCAGCCCTTTTTCCTCTTTTATTCCGAAAGACAGGTGTGCCCTGGGGGTCCTTACTCAAGGACCCCCTCCTGCCCCACCCCCACCCCAGGGTCCTCACCCCGTAGCCTTCCTCACAAAACAGCCAGATCTTACCGTCCAGGGAGGGCCAGCTTGCCTGCGGGCTGCGGCAGCAGCTGCTACCCTGATACATTAGAAGCCTTTAAAGTTATTCTCCGTGCCCCCGTAACCATGTACTCCTCATCATCTTCCAAACTTAGTAACTTCTCTCTCCTCCCTCCTTATTGCCCCTAGACTCTGACAACTCTTTGCTCTATTTTGTGGAACCCCCATCTTCACCATTAAACCTGGCCCTGATTTCAACCCAGCAATGTCTCTCGAGCCCCTCCCGGTTCCCGCATATGCACACGATTGCTCTGAACTTCTCCAGCTCCCTCTGTCACCGTTTCCTCATGTTTCTGTTTCCCCTCTCCACTCCCCAAACACACCTGGTATATGCACAGTAGCTCCTTTAAAGGAACTCAACCATCCCCTCCCCGAGCCAGCTACGCTGTCGTCTCTGTCACCCCCCACCGCCTCTCAACAAGCTCATTGCCTTAACCCACGCCCTAACCTTAGCCTGTGGTAAAAGAATCAACTTACACACTGATTCCAAACAAGCTTATCACGTCCTACACCGCTATGCTGCCATCTGGGCTGAACGTGGTTCCTACCACGCAGGGAAATCCTATTATCAGTGGCCCTTACATCCCCAAACTCCTTCACGCTGCTACCCTTCGTAAAGAAGCAGGAATCGTCAGATCCTATAAGCCGGGCAACCCGTTCGCTGACCTCACAGCCCACCAGGCTGCCCGGACACTTCAAGGCCAGTTCTCTCCCTTCCTGCCTCTCCCCCATCCTATTCCAGCTCTGAAAATAAAAAATACCAACACCTCCCCAGCCGTGACAGCTGGTTTCTCGGCCACTGCCGCCTCGTAACTTGCTGCTTCACAAACAAACACCATCCTACCAAACCTCCATGACTCCTTTCATGTTGGTTACAAACCTCTTAGCCGCCTACTGCAATCTCTTTTCCAGCCTAGAAAACACACTTAACAGTCACTTCCAGTGCTCGACGTGTCGGTCCTCCTCTGCCCAGGGAGCCCTTCCCCCTCCCCACTTTCCTACCCACCGAGCCCGTGGTTTTTCGCCCGGCCAGGACCGGCCAATCGACTTTACTGATACGCCCCCCTGTCCGCAAATTTAAATACCTCCCAGTCTGGAGAGACACTTTTACCCAGTGGGTTGAAGCCTGTCCCACCAGAACTGACAAGGCAGTGGGCGTCATCAGCACCCTTCTCCAGGATGTTGTCCCCCGTTTTGGATGCGCATCCTCAATCCAATCAGACAATGGGCCTGCCTTTATTAGTCACATCACTCGGGGTATGACATTCCAGAGAGCCGCCAGTCCCCTTGCCCACCAATGTGATGGACGACTTGGCCAGAAAAACTAGTTCTAGTAAAAGACCTCACCCCACGCCCTCTCAAGCCGAGGCGGGGCGGCCCCTTTCGGGTCCTTTTCAGTGTTCCCACAGCGGTCCTCCTGGGAAAACCAGGCCGGTGGGTCCACCGATCTCAGCTGAAGCTTCCCTCCATGGCCGAGCCTCAGCCCGACCATCCTGGGCGGAAATCGCAGGTGCTCCCCCAACCTCCCTAAAACTCACGAAAATCCTAGAATAACCTTCACGAGCTCTCCTTTCCTCTTGCTGAGATTTCAAGTCTTCCTGATTGACATTCGCCGGGATCTAACATGATTTAAGCCCAGACACTAGATAGCAATGGCCTTGACTGGATCGGCGACCTGTGCTGGCAAGGAACTTGCAGGACTGCTGCTCGGAAGTCTCATTCTTTCCTTTCACTCTCATTCCTGTACTCACGCTGCCTCTTCTGTAACCTGTGTCCTTACCCGCTCCCCGCTGCCAAAACCCAAAACTGCCGCTGGGGCCGCTCTTCAATCTACAGCCCTTCTCCTTGATTAGTCCAGCTGCTCCTTGTGCACAGGTGGCTATGAAAACCTCCAGGCTACACCTCTTCCCTTCCAATTCTGGGTGACCTTAAACTTCACCTTCCTCCCCACACAGCCCTACATGAAATCCTACCCTGCACACCCCTCCCCACAAAAACGGCTCTTTCAACAAATGAAAGACAGTCTGTTCCATCGGCCACAACTGGCACCTAGAGCTCTCCTGCATTGTCACGCAGGCCCGACTCCAGCCCTGCACTCATTTGCTTTGAAAGTTACTCAACCCATTCTGGACCTTTCTTAGGCAATTTATCATTTGCACGTATGTAACCACACCATTATTACGAAACACAGATCTGACCAAGAAGTCCCCCCCCAACCTCCCATCCTTACCTGCAGCTCTCGATACAAAACAGCAAAACCCCCTTTTAACCTACAAAATACAACCTAAGTGGAACGCTCCCCCCACCGTGGCGACATCGGCCTTTTGCCAAGGCCGCCCCACCACCCTCTCCTCATTTTTCCCTTATCTCACAAAATCCTCCTCATGGTGCTAGTTTGTAGACCACCCGACCAATGACAGCCTCAGGCTTCACCTTAACCTCTCTTCCTATGATCTGCTCCCTGAACCCCCTCCAAATGATAAAGATCCACTGATCACCATGCTCGGGGCAGCCCAAGACCTTCCTATTAAAACCAAACTCACCAACAAACCTCTCTGGTAGAACTCGCCCTTTGGAACAAAGATCCCGCCAGAACCAGCCCACCTTACATAGCAGGTTACGTGACCGCGGGACTCAACACGAGGCATTCACTTCACGCGACACCTCAGTCCTCAGTCTTGCCGCCCCTGTGGAAAGGACGCTGCACCCTGATATTCCGTGCCCCTCCCATCTATGGAGGGCCTGCCAGTCTGTACTTGCTGACCCTGTTTCTTTCCCTCCTGCGCCAAAAGCAGAAACGAGCTGTGGCGGCCACTGCCAGTACAGGACTCACACTCCTGGCCACCTCAGGCCTCCTTGTCGGGGACACCATGCACCTTTAGCAAATGCCACAGCGCACCACAGAGGCCCCGGCAGCTCTGACCAGCACAGTCCACTCGCCCGGGTCAGGCTCCAAAACAGACGAGCCCTTGATCTCCTGACAGACCAACAGGGGGACTTGTACCTTCGTAGGGGAAGAATGTTGCCACTGTATCAATGACACGGGACACATCCAAAATCGTCTAGACAAAGCACAAAACTCTTTGGTCTCAACTGAAAATCTGGTCATGGCCCCTTCTTATCCCGCTAATATTACTTCTGACTGGAATAGCCACCGCTCCCCTCCTTGTACAACTCATGCGCTTCGTTCACAAAACCGTCCCGGCCATCACTGATAGAGCTTATGCTCAATGCTTTCTCCTCCCTGGCTGTCTGTCTCTTCCTGTGCCAGCTGCCCCATCTCCCCAAACCCCGCCTCTCTCTCTCTCTAGGACGCCCACGCTGCCCCTACACACGTAGGAGGCAGTCTTAGAGAAACTTCACCCCATACCATAAATCAATAAAAACAATGCCGGAATGATGGGCAGGGCAGTGGTTACTGAGCCAGGCCACTCCCGCCGTGATCGCGCTATGTTAACTGCAAGTAGCCGAAAGTCGCCTGCCCGACCTGGACGCCCCTGAACATATCCGGCTTCAGCACAGCAGTGATGTGGATCAGGAACTTTTCATCAACAGCCACCTGGCCTGGCCACAGCGACGATACGGATCAAAGGCTTGGCGTCCTACCCAGAAACAACAAAGACCTGAACAGGGCAGGTGGGAGGGGGCCCGGCTCTACCCCGCTGATAAAAATCCTCACAAAACCCCCTTCTGGGCTGACTCTTCAGATTCAGCCCACTCGCACCCGGGTGAATGAACCAGCCCTGTTGCTCCCACATAGCCTGGGTGTGAGATCTGTCCTTGGGGTCATTCCCCTTTCACCTGGAGCCAGCCATACAAGGACAAAAAGTGGGAAGGTAGCAATTTCTAGAACTCCCCACCCTTTCTCAGAAAATGAATATTCCACCCCCAGCTTAGCATGAAATCGGGGAGCCAACTTAAAAAGGAGAAACTTCGTTACGTTCAGGGTCTCTGCGCGGAGCAGACCCGCTCCTCTCCGGAATGTGCTCTCGCTTTGTGAAGCTGCTTGTGTGTGGATGCGACTGACGGGGCATTCACTTGGTGACGGTACCCATTCTTTGGCACTGGGGACCAGGGACACCGAGACAGACTTGACAAGATGGTTCTGTTACTGCTCTATCGTTTCCGTATCCTCTCGGTGCCCCAGAGGGCTGGCGCTTCTGGAGCCGTCGTGGAAAAAGGGCAGAGGTGTGAAAATGGAAGTTCCTTGGACTGCGTTCTCCATTGTTGCCTATAAAGCCGAAAGATTGTTTTTACGCCTTTGCCTAAAGGGTGTTTTGAGCTCTTCAGTAACAGACCTTTGAATGCTGCTCTCTCTGGGGTTGGGGTTTGTGGAGGGGAGTTGACACTGACTACCTAGCGTCCCATGTGCTCCCCAAGGAGCACTGGTGTTTGAAGCTGCCATGGATGATGGGGAATGGCATTTCTACCAACGGACGAGACAGACGCTTCAGAAAACACAACTTTATTCACTAGGACTGGAAACAGGCTTGCAATCAAAAGACCAGCTTGATAGCTGTAGTGCAAGGTGGGGCGTGCTTGGCGGTCACAGACCTCAGCTGTGGGCCGGCTGGACCTGCTACCCTGGCCTGCAGAGTTGGAAGCTTGGTAGGCAGGCTGGGCTGGCAATCCTAGTTTCCTATTTCAGTGATTTCTCACATGCTAGTCCCAGCATCACAAAGCTACACGTGTCCTCCAAGGTCACACGAGAAGACCCTGTTGATGTTTGGTGAACCGGAGCCTCCTACTGGGTGGACTGGGAGCGGGTGGCTCCCCGGGCGCACAAATGCACAATGTGATTAGTGGTGAAGGCCTCTGTCCCAGGCATGGGCCAAAGTCCTTTCTCTGCCTGAGCTGCTGAGTGCGGGTGAAGACATGGCTTTTCCAAGGGGTTAGGCTTTGAACTCGTGGCGCCAGCCGGTGGCCCAGCCTCATAGCTGGGTGTGCCCAGGAGGGGGCAGCAGAGTGCTGTGGCTCGGTGTGTGCACTTGGTGCCACGCCCCCTCCCATGCAGAGGACCTTGTTGACCTGACGGCCTCGAGGGCAAGGCACTGAGGCCACAGCCAGCGAAGGGAGGCTGTGCACGCGCTGCCCCTGTGAAGCCGGAAGACAGACTGCTGCTGGGGGGAGGAAGCGGTGAGGTTTGGCCCGGGGTCCTAGAAATGGATGTCATGGGGTTGGCCACTGGGTGACAAGGTCAGAAGGGCCTGTAGACCTGTCCAGCCTTCTGAGACAGGGATTGAGTTCAGCCAGGTTCAGGGTCGGCAGCAGGAGTCCCCTCGGCCCTCCCTCTTCACGTAGTCGTGCAGCCGGAAGCGGGGCTCGCCGGGAGCCTTCATGGAGCGCTGCTTCAACTCCCTGCAGAGCAAGGGTGACAAAGCAACATGGCCTCCTGTACCCCAACAAGAAGGTTCCGACCCTGGGCTTGGTCCTTCTGGTGACCGCCAGGACTTACCTTGCGATGCCTGTGAAGGCCAAGTCCACGTTGAGGCCTGTCTTGGCACTGGTCTCCATGAAGGGCAGCCCGTACTCCTGCAAACAGCCGCTGCCAGCCGGGTGGTGGCCTGGCATGGTGGGGACATCCCAGGCTCCACAGTCCCAGGGGCACCCTCCTCGCCACCCACCCTCCCCTGACTCACCTTGGCCAACTTCTCTCCGTCTTCCCTCTTCACCACATGCTCGTGGGCAGAGTCCACCTGGCCCGGGCACAGAGGTCTTGATGCCAGCTGGCCCGTGGCTTGCCACCTGCCCCCCTCACCTCTGCTCTGTGGGCTTGGGGTGGAGAGGACAGAACAGGCCGCCCACCTTGTTCCCCAACAGCATGAGCACCACGTTGTGCTGGGCATACTCCTGGATCTCGGTCAGCCAGGCCTGTGGGGGGAGAGGCTGGTGCCCCTTGCACGCCCTGCCCTGTGCCCCAAAGCCTCTGCCTGTCTCCGGAAGAGTCCCCGTGTGTCAGGCAGAGGCCCCCACCTTACAGACACCTTACCCTGGGAGACACACCAAAAACTTGGAATGTCACCCAGGACCACCTTAGCCCACACTCAACCTGAGCCATTTCCATCCCAGAAGGGACCCTGATGGCCTGTGCCTGGAGGAGGTTGGGGGCGGGTCAGGCCCTACCAGGAAGGAGGCCACTGACCTGGACGTTGTCAAAGGAGGCCTTGCTGGTGACATCATAGAGCAGCAGCAGTGCTGGGAGCAGAGGGGCAGTGAGGACGTCCCCTGTCGCCCACACCCTCTTGCTCTGATACCCCCTCCAAGCAGGGCACCCACAGACCACAGTCCCAACTCCCTGGGGGTCGGGCCACGCGTCCGCGGGCTCACCATGAGCGTCCCGATAGTAGGCATGTGTGACACTGCGGAACCGCTCCTGGCCAGCTGTGTCCCAGATCTGCAGCAACAGGCACTGGTCAGGCTGCCCAGCCTCTCCCTGGTGTCCCCTGCCCCCAACTTGCCCTCCCAGACACCTCACCTGCAACTTCACCTTCACGCCATCCACGTCCAGAACTTTGTTCTGAAACAGAACCAGCCAGCTCCAGCGAGGGCCCGGCACCAGCCTCTGGCCCGGCTCCCAAGGGTAGGGCGGGAGAGGCGGAGTGGAGCCAGCACTGAGCTCAGGTCCACTGACAGGAGTTTGAGGGTTGGGGGCCCTGCCCCTGGCTAAGTCCCTAAAGTCATTCTTGAGCTCTTGCTTGCCCCCCACTCAGGCCACCTGCTTCTGTTCTGACCACCTTCCGTCCTGCCTGCAGGTCACACTCCCCCTAAAACCCAAGTGCTCTTCGGGCCACCTAGCCCTCCTGGTGGCCCCATGCACAGAGGCTGCCCAGGCCTCCTCCCTCTCAGACGGTCACCCTGGTGATGGACCATGGCCAGTTGTCTCCAGTTCGGGGCCAGCATGTTCTTCCTCTGCCCACCTGGAGGCTCTCCCTCTCCTTCCTGTCCCCCAGGACCTCTCAAGCCCAGCCCAGCCCTGGCCACCCTCCTCACCCTGGGGCCTGCCCCAGCTGGCTTCCCAGTGCCCACTTTCCACCCCCTGCGTGCCCCTCCCCTGCATGGAGTGCAGCCCTCGGCCCCCCTCCGTCCTCGCTTGTTCTATACGTGCTGCTCCTGCTTGGAGCCACCTGCACAGATTTGAAGTCACCCACAGTATGACCCCTTTTACTAACACTGCCTCGGTTTCCCCATCTGCAAACAGGGATGACCAGGGTGCCAGTCACATTGGCTGTTTCAGTAACTTCATGAACTATTCTATGAAAGCATTGATAACTGTCTGGCTAGAAGTGTGTGTTCTAATTTAAAAGCCTCTCCCCACTAGGATGTCAGCCGCACAAGGGCTGGGCCCGTGCCCAGTGGGCACTGCTTGTTTGTGCGTGTTTGCTGGCAGTATTCCCCAGCCGGGCCCTCTCGGCTGAGGACTAGATGGGAGGCAGGGAGTGGCCCGACCCCAGTCCCATCTGCTGGGGTGGGGGTGGGGGCTTCAAACCACAGCCTGAGACTCTGCGTGGCTGGAACGCACACCACCTCCCTCTCTGCGAGCTCCTGCTGTCAGAGTGCTTCTGGGTCTCCGGGGAACCAGGCGCAGCCATCTGCTGGCTGGGGAGGAGGCTGGAGAGGACATCTCGCCTTCCCTGGCACCCTGAGCAGGGTGCAAACCACACGGTCTCACCTCCTGCCCAAGAGCTAAGAGGGAGGTGGGGACGGGGGGACCTCCACCCTCTGGCCCAACCTGACCCCTTCTGGCACCTCAATTCAGACTCATCCCAGAGGACGTGGGGGAGCCTGGACCCCCCAAACAGGATAGAGAATGGCTCCCCAGACTGGAGGGATTCTTCCCCCATCCTGTCACTGGAATGGGCCTCCCTCCCAGCCGCCTGCTAACTGGGTCTAATTAAAGGGTGAGAAAATGCAAATCCAAGATTTTCTGAGAACACACAAGCACCTCAGCACGTGGCATTCAGACTGGTGGGCAGAGGTGTGGGGCCCCGGTGCCAGAGCCCTGCAGGCCCCTGCTTAGGAGGAGGGGGCATCTCCTCACCCAAGGGCAGGGACCTCTCTCCCGAGCGAGCCCTGGAAGCCCTCCTCCCCAGGTCCTGCGTAGTGTATCTGCTCCGGCACCAGAGCTGCCTGTTTTGTAGGACCTAGGCAGGTCACCTGGCACTTCCCACAGCCTCAGGACCTCCTCTGTACAGTGGGGCAGCAGTGCTGGCCTCCTGAGTGGACATGGGCCTTGAGTTACCTCTGACTGTCACCACCCTGGGGGCACCAGCACTACCTCCTCCAAAGCACAGGATACAGTCCCCTAGGGTAGAGCCAGCCACTGACACAGGGGAACTCTCTCTGCTGGTCAGGTGCAGCCTGTCGGCTTGGCAGCTAAGGTTTCCCACCTCAACTGCCCTAGTCCCGGGATCTGAGCGGCCCAGCTAGGAGCCCCCTCTCATGCCACCAGCTTCCCAGCGGTATTGGGAGGATGCAGTGAGCTGACATGGGGCCCAGGGCCTGGTTGGGCCTGGCCAGGGCTCGGGACATCAGCCTCCACTCTCACCCGGAAGTCGATGCCCACAGTGGAGATGAAGGTCCCCGCCAGGAAAGCGCCATCCTTGAAGCGCACGAGCAGGCAGGTCTTCCCCACGCCCGAGTCCCCAACCAGCATGACCTAGGGCAGGCAGGACAGTCAGAGGTGTCAGGCTGAGCTGGCCTGGCCAGAGAGGGACTGTGGCTCAGGGGCAGGACTGGAGGGCAGTGTGCCAGGCCTGCAAGGTCAGCAGGGTGTTGGAGAGACAGCAGCCACAGTCCCCACTGGCCTGGATGCCCAGCTTATGCCTCTGGAAGGCTTCGTCCCTTCTCTGCCGAGCAGTGGCCCATCTCAATTGCTGGGGGGTGTGGTCAGCTGCCTCCATCCAGGACCCTGCCTACCCCTCCCTGACATGGACACGATGCTTGATCTGGGAGGAGAGTATCTGGGGACTAATGGGGAGCAGAGCTGATGGGGGTGGCAGCTGGGGACCTTCTAAGGCCTGTGGTGGCCTCTGTGCCAGGGGGCTTCTTCAAATCCCAGCAGGGAAAACAAATCCCAGCAAGGCTTGGGAGGAATTTGCCAAACCAGGGTCAGATCTTGACCTGAGGAGGGGCCTGGGCTGAGTCTGTGGGCAGGGACAGCAGGCAGGCCTCCCCTACCCCCACCCGCTGCCAAATGAGCCCAAACCCAAAGATGGCCCTACTGGACCCCCATTCCCACACCTCTGCCTCGGTCTGGGGAGGCTCCAAGTGCTCCCCACCCAACTGGCAAACCCCTTCCTAGCCTCTTCCCCCCTCCAAAAAAAAGGGGAGATCCACAGACCCTGCGGGTGAGGGAAGGCGGCATATGGGAAATGAGACTAGGGCGTAGGTGGGGGCTAGGGCATTAGGGCGCAGGGAGGGGGCGCTGCCGGCCACATCAGTCTGCGGGACCTCTTGTGTGGCCCTGCCAGCTGGGGGTAGGGGACAGGCCCCTGTTGAATCCCCCAAACCTGGGCTTGACAGCTGTGTGCGCGCGTGCGATGCCCGCGCCAGCCGTTCCAGCTGCGGGGTGCCGCCCGGGTCAGCTCCGCGCCGAGGGTCCGCGGACTCTGCACCCCCTACTGGAGCCTCTCCCCTCGTGGCTCCTACCGGGCGCCACCTGCTGCTCTCGCCTGGGGGGTGCCCGGCTCACCTTGAAGGCGACGTCGTAGAAGTCGCCGCCGCCGCCAAGGGAGGGCCGGCTGGGCTGCAGGGGCCCGTTGGGCGGCGGGTCGGGGCCGGGGCGCGCAGTCCCGGGGCGCGCCGGCCGGGCCCCGTTGGCGGCGGGCAGCGCGGAGGCGCCGGGCGCGCCGGCCCCCTTGCTCCTGGGGGTCTTCTTTCTGGACATGGCGGGTTGGGGCTCAGTGCGCGGCCGCCTCGCCCCGGGCTGTCCCGCTTCCCGCGCCGGCCGAGCGCGACCCAGACCCGAACCCTCTCCCTGGAGGCCGCGGCGACATCCCGGCCCCGCGCCCCGCCCCGCCCCCGCCGCCCTGCGGGCGGTGCATTCGCTCCGACCCCGCCTCCCGCCGCCGCGGGGCGGGGCCATGCAAATACGCCGCTCGCGCCGCGCCCGGGCCCAGCGACCTCCCTGGCCGCGCGGAGCACGCACCGCACGTGGGGCGGCGGGCCTGGCGAGGAAGCGCCCAGGGGTCCTGTGCCCCCTCTGCCCGCCCTGCTCCAGCCCAGCGCACCCCTCGGACCGCCGCCGGGCCTCGGACGCGGGAGCTGTCCTGAGCTGAGGGCGCTGGGACACAGGGCCCGCAGGGGTCGGCACCCTCTAGCTGTCCCTTCTCAGTCAGAGAGGCCGGCGCCTTAGCCTGCTGCTGCTCCCTGCTCGGTCCCCTCCAGGGCAGGAGGGTCCAGGAAGCCCCAACACTCGTGCTGCGGGAGAAACCCGGCTGCACCGGCGCTCCGGGCTCCGGGACAGCTGGTCATCAGAGGCAGGACAGAGGGACGCATAGCGCTCTGCCCCGCAGCTTCTACCCTCTACGCTGAAGCCTTGGGATCCAAGGGGAAAAGGTAGCAGGTGCCACAGCCAGCAGCAGCACACGCTCGGAAGGTCCCCTCCGGTGGGCCTCTGCCCCCAGGGGTCTGCAAGGTGGGAGGCCCCGAAGCCTGCCCATTCCAGGTTCTGGCCCCAAGGTGGCCAGTGCTGATTCTCCAAACCCTGAGCTGGTCCCTGGCACACCCCTCTCCAGGGCCTGACACACTCTCCCTGCCGGGGCTGACTGGAGCTCTGGGTTTGAGAATGAGCCTGACGTGGTCAGAGCTGGGAGGCAGTGGGTGCAAGGGGCGGTGCCCCTGGGGTGGGGGGCTTCCTGATGCTCCTCTGGGAGCCAGAGGGATGGCCTGGCTGTCCCCCAAGATGTGACAGCTGCCACCAGGACCCTGGGCCCTTCAGAAGCCTGAGTCTTCCCAGCTGGCAGGGCCCAGGGCCCAAATAATGAGCTGCCCTGGGGCTCAGAGGCCTGAGAAAACACAGATGGCGGGACGCGCCCAGCAGAGCGGTTACTCCAGAGGGCCTGGCAGCTGCCCACACAGCAGAGGCCACGGAGCGCTGCCCTGCATTGAGTGCTACCGCGTGCCAGGCACTTGTCATTGTCAACACTACCCTGTGGGATGGCTGCTGCTGTGGTTCCCAGCGTACAGGTGGGGAAACTGAGGCCAAGAAAGGTGAGGGGAGCTGTCAAAGTCACCAGGCTAGGAAGGAGCAGAGCCAGGATTTGCCCCCTGGGAACTCTAGCTCCAGAGAATGTAAACTGTCCCATGGCAGAGTTGGTCCCGAGCTCCCCTGGAGACTCATTCCTCAGGGACCTATCAGAGCTGGGGGACAAAGCTGGGGAAGCCCCTTCAGAGCCCCCAGGCAGCCTTTCCTTGTCGCACTCCCCCACCCCTTCCAGGCCAGTCCCCAGATGTGTGCGCAGTGGGTCTGGAGCAGGGTATCGGGCTCCCGCTGCTGCAGCCCTGGGGCTCTAGGTGCCCCCCCCACAAGGCCAACTTCAGGACAGTTGGCCCCTGGTCTCAGCTAGGGCTTCAGCAGCCGCCGCCCACTGGCTCCAGGGTCCTGGGCAGTGGACTCCCCACACCCTCCTGCCAGCTGCTGCCCAGGGCACACCCAGGGCATGGAAACCAGGAGGAGTTGGGTGCTTCGGGGCGGGGCAGGAGTGCCAATGGGTGACCAGAGAAAGTGGGAGGCCTGGCAGGGAGGGGAGCTTTGAGCAATAGAGGAGACGGGCTTGCCCTTGGAATCTTCAAAACTGGGAGAGTTCATGTAAAACCCCAGGTCTCTGGTTCATCTTGAAAATAGGCGGCCCTGGGTGCCTGCATCGTGCCCCCACTCTCTTGGCTTCCCGCGGCCTCCTAATATTGATCACTATGTCTCTTGGTTCCTCTGACTGCCATCTGTTTCGCCCTCTGGAATGTAAACTCTCTGGGCACAGGAAGTAGCTTGTCTTGGTCACTGCTGTGTCCCTAGCAGCTGGCCCTGGGCCTCAATCAACAGTTCTTACACTGGCGAAAGAAACACGAGTTAGAGACACAGGCCTCGCTTCAGGAGGACATGTCGTTGCTCGCAAGGATTTAAGGCAGAATGTGCCTCAACCTGCAATGAGAGCAAGACTGGAGCGATCAAGCAGTGAGAGCAAGGCTTTGCGGAGGAGGGAGGATTTGCACTGGGCTTTGAAGGTTGAGCTGGAGTCTGCCAGAAGACGAGACCGGGAAACTCAGCAGGTGGAGAGAGTGAATGCACACAGGCTCAGAGTGCCAGGGGTGGGCACTTGGAGCTGAACAGGCCAAGTGGGGGCCAGCTGCTTGGAGGAAATGGCAAGTGATGTAACTGGTAAGGTAGGAGGGAGCCAGATTGTGAGGAAATCGGTATGTTATGCCTGGGAGCTTGGACATCGTTCAGCAGGAAGTAGAGTCGTGCTTGGTTTCCAAGCAGAGGACACGGTGCTACAGGAGTGCTGGGGTGTGGCAGGCGGAGATGAACGGTGGAGCCCGTGGGCAGGGGGATGAGTTTGGGGGGAGGGGTTGCAGTAACCCAGGGCAGAGGTTATAGGGACAGAGAGGTCTTCCAGGAGGGACAACATCTGCAGCCCTAGAGGCAAGGAAGGAAGAGTGAGAGTCCACGGGACAGAAACAGTGGGTGTTGTGGTGCATTAAACGTGGATTAAAATCTTTGCTATTCCTCCCAGGGAGGGGAGGGTCTCTGTGCCCTGTCCTTGAGTCTGGGCAGAAGCTGTGATTGCTTTGACCAATAGTTATGGCAGAACTGACTTGGTATCCATTTCTGGACCCAGACCTTCCTGTGTCCTGGAATAGTCTTTTCTCCCATGCTGGGAGGAAGCCCAAGTAGCACTGTGGGGAGACCCGCATGGAGAGAAGCTGATTTGCCAGCCCTGGGAGTAAAGAAACCATCTCAGCAGTGGATGCCCTGGCCCCAGCTGATGCTGTGCAGAGCAGAATGAGCGTCCCCACTGAGCCCTTCCAAGCTGCAGATACATAAGCATTTGGGGGATGTTTGTTACACAGCAATAAATAACTAGGACAAACTGCCAGCAAGGGCAAGGAAGGGAGCCAGTATGGTGGGAAAGGCCGGGAGGTTGGCCTTGGCTGGGTCTGGGCATGTCCAGATGCTTGGTACCCACAGGCCTGGAGAGGAGAAGAGGCCAGGGCAGGTCCCTGAGACAGGTCTGGAGTCGAGATGAGCTCATGCTGTGGCCTCCAGCTCCTGCAGTGTGCCTCCTGACTTGTCCTTCTGGGTGTCTCACCTTGTTCTGGAGTGATATGTGCCTTGAGTCCCCAGCCACGATGACCTGGGGGGCTCATGGCCCAGGATAGTCTCACTCTGGGCCCCCATTTTCCAAGCCCTCCAGCTTCACTCCCACACTCTGCTCACCCACAGAGCTTGGCCCTCAGGCTGGCCTTTGTGTGCTGGAGAGGACACAGGCAGGAGTGGGCAACCTCCTCAACCTTCCAGGCTCTGCCTGGAGTCCCTTCCTCCAGGGAACCTTCCCTGGCTTCTCCTGCCCTTGTTTCTTGCTCCCTGCATGCTCTCCAGTGGTCCCCGGGGAGCTGTGCTGTCTCTGCCATCCTGTGAGCTCCCTGAGGACAGGGCCGCATCTCACCTGCTCCCGCTCCCAGCCAGCACTAAAGGGGGAGCTCTGTAGCAGGAGAGAGCTAGGCTGGACTTCAAGGGTCCTTTAGCAAGTGGGCAAATGCAAAGCCCCCAAAGCTTGTGCCGCTAGAGCACCTCTGCAGAAGTCGGTCCTACAGAACTTGGCTGTCTGTGCTGTCAGGGTGGGAGCAGTGCTAGAAGGGCAGAGGGCCGGCTGGGTCCCTGGCTCACTGTGTGACCCGTAGCATCCCCTCTCTGGGCCCCCTCCCTTCCATGAAACGAGGGGGCGGGAGGAGCTGATCTCTGAGGTCCCTTCCAGCTCAAACACCTTATGTTCTCTGAAATCTGTGTGAACGTTGCCATGGAGACACCAGAGGAACTGCAGCAGCAATGAGTGTGACTTCCACCCGAGAAAGAAGAACTGAGTCACCCCAGAAAGTGAGTGACGTCAGAGGTGTGCTTCCCCCGATGCCCACGTGTGCAGGGCCACATGGGTGACTAGTGTCCTGCCCCTGAGAGGACACTCCCCTGCACCCCACTCACCTTTGTGGCCCTGAGTAGGGACAGGTGGGTGTGCATCCTTGCCTGAAGGGGGCCCCTTCCTGTGGGGCCAAAGCAGAGAGCTGTTCCCTCGCAGGTGTGACCATGGCAGCTGAGAGGTACTCCGCTACAGAGGAAGACGAGCTGATGCAGAAGTCACGTCCGCCTCTTACTGCTCGTCACAGCAGTGTCCTCACCCCGACAGGACCAGCGGCCTGCTCACAGCAGCGCCGGCTTCCAGTCCCTGAGCGGGCCGCCTTGGCCATGGGGGGAGGCAGAGCCCGGGCTTGTGGCTCCAGGCTCTGTAGGCAGCCCTGGAGTGACAGGCCTGGGCTTCATGCACGTGCCGGCATCAACGCAGAGTAATACAACAGATCCCTGTGGAACCGCGAGTGACTGAAGCCCCCAAGCAGTCTTTGCCCCAGGACTGGGTCAAGTGCTTGTCTTGCATTGTTTTCTTTTTTCTTAATTATAACAATAACATGATTTTTGTGGCATGTCAACACCACGAACGATAAAGGTGAGAGCAAACATCACCCGTCTCACTTAGATCCCACCCTTCAGTGGTCACCACTGTCGGGTTTGGTCACGGTGTCTGCATTAGTTGGCTATTGCAGCTGCAACAAATTTCCACAAACATCCCCAACGCCTGGGCTGCAGACCGGCACTGGTCCCTGGCCTGTCAGGACCCGAGCTGCACAGCAGGAGGCAAGC